AGGGAATATGGGAAGGAAAGTATTAAGTAATTTTCCCCGCAACTTTGTCCGACTTACGATAAAAATGTGCTTCTTCATCCCATATCATCATCATCGTTTTAGCTTTTAATTGTCCACTGTTGAACTTAAGCCTGCTCTTGGGAGTTTTACCAGTAGTTGCCACACTAGGCAAGCGGATTAGCAACGGCAGTTAAGCTTTAGAGATGTTTTAGGACGGACGCTGCTGCCCGTCCCTCGTCCTCCCCTAGTTGCCTCTTACGACACCCACGGGAAATAAAGGAGTGACCTATTCTATGCTGGAACTACATGGCATAGAATAGATGTTTTATGTTTACTGGTCGGGATATAAATGTTCTTCTCCATCTCATGTAGTACTTACGTGTAAACCAAATTACACAGTGATTAGTTAAAGTGTTAAGAGGTAACAAATATGCAAACTCTTCAAACATTTATTGCTTTACAGTATGTAGTATTTAAGACCTCATATGAATTATAATATTATAAGAAAAATAATGATGAAGAAGAAGATAATATGAATAATAATAATAGATGTAAATGTAGAAAGAGATTCAACGAGAAATGTATGGATTGTTTGAAAGGTGCCTTAGTTGGAAATGTTTTTTTTTTTGATGGGTGAAAATGTTATGGCCTGCGCTAACGAGATACGCTGGCGGAGCACCAGTGAAGGGTGATAGATGAGAATGAAAACAGGCCAGTTATGCCAGCCCATCATGAATTCATCAGGAATTAACCATGATAGTTTCCAGGGAGAACCGCGAGGAGGTCGACCTGGCTGGGTATATTGCTAGCAATAGGATTCTCAGTCTCCATTAACAATCCCTTTCTCCCGGTTAGAAATGTTAGAATATCGAGATGATTGCAAATATAAACGAATGGAAGAGAAAAATATATTACGCCATAATCCAAATAAATATAGGACAAGGTCAAAAAATGATGATTTTTAAATTAGCAATACCTGTATTTGCATAATATCAAGGCAACTCTCCGACGTACATAGGTGTGACAAACCGGGACCAAAATAGAACTGTCAACATTATGATCACATATTGATGAATGAATTCGCACTTGAAAGAAATAGAATATACTGTTTATATAAAAATTAAGGGTGTGATTACATGATCACAGATAGGTGCGAAATACGCAAGAAGACAAATAAGGATTTTTTATACTAATATGATAGATAAAATATATGGTACTTATGGTTGCCGTGAAGTCTCGGCTTAGAATAAAATAGCTCACCCCTTTTCTTCCCATGGGTCTCGTAAAAGGCGACTAAGAGAATTTAATGATTAAGGACACAAGCGTCTCTCTTTAAACATCAACACCTGCCAAGCGTGGCAACTACTGACAAAACCCCTTAATAGGGGGAGGCCCATGTTCAGCAGTGGGCATTTAATGGCTGGTATGTTGATGGTAAATAAAAAGACTACAGCCAAAAGTTGCAAAAAACCCAAAATTCTATACAATAATTTTAATATCACAAAATTAATATTTTCATTCTAATTACAAATTATAAAATGTCAATTGGTCAAAGTGCGAACCAAAAGTAGTGCCGCGAATAATAGCAGTTTCCATGAAAAATCACTGTTTCGACATCACGTGTAGGTGGGATGACGCGTCATGTAGGATCCGCTGCTCGTGCAGCGCTTTTCGGGAATTGTGCTTACGATCGTGGTAGTAAATAAGCATACGGCTCGTATAATCGTAAACAATTACCTTAGTCTATGTAATGAATGGTTAAATATTTGAGTTTCATAATATATAATTAATGATTAGTCATTCAACTATAGTCAAAACTGATGTGAAATTAATCATTACAGATGCATAAATTTATTATAAATATAGGTCAGGAGAAATATCAAATTTACATAGTATTTAAATTACAATGTTATAGAAAAAAATATAAAATACATTAGTAAATAAATAAACCTAAAAATAATTAAAAATTAATAAATATAAAACTTAATTAAATATTGTTATTAATAACTACTAATAATATTTAATAAAGACTATCGTTTAATTCTAAACACATTTAGTTAATATGTGTTTTATTTACATTTTTAAAGAATAATAAGAAAAAATATTACTTATATATATAATATAATAAAAAAAGAATTAATGAAATAAAATAGTGTAAAATTATAAAAGAAATAAGTAAGACTAATTAAAATAAAAATTACAATATTAATGTGCAAGTAATTGTAAATAGACAACAGAATAGGAGTAAGAGCTTTTAAACTTCCTAAAGCCATTTAGCTAAATACCAATTTCAATTGGAGCACACTTCTTACTGTCGTCAACCTACTTCTGGAAATTCAGTCGTTAAATTAATGGGGCGTACAGAAGTGTTTCTTACTTAAGATTTATCGCTAAATAACTAATTAAAGGATAAATGAGGCAATTAATCCGGTAAATTGTATTAATTAGATTGCAGCCAAATTAAATGATAGTAAATTTAATTGACAAATCGTACCTATAAATTTACTTCGATTAACAGTGATTTGTTTGTGATATAAAAATATATAACTAGTAAAGAAATGAAGCAATTGCTTTACGACTGTATGTGTATAAAATATGTATGATTAGGTATGTATGTCTGGAGTTTTGACAAATGAGTAGCCTAAATATTTTCATGAATTTATAATTGAATTTTAAGTTTGCAGAAATAAAAACGATTTATTTATTTCTTCATTAAAATGAGACAATTAGTGTGGTAAATAAAATTAATTTTATTACAGAAAAATTAAATGATCGTATATTTATATACGTGATTGTTGGCATTTGGTGGAACTTTATGCACATAAAAATGACAGTAAATTAAATTTATAATACATATATATTTACTTAGAACGTGATTTGTTTTTTCCAAATGATTTTAAAATATGGAGAATTTTAATTCTGCTTTATTTTTTATATTTGTTACCTTACAACTTAGTCATTTATAAACTAACTTGAAAAATTCTTTTTACGTTTGAAAGATTTGTTCCATAGACATTTTTTTGAAATCGTTTCAATAGTTTAATTTTTGAAGCAAAATAACTGGTTTTGTTATCATTGAAGTCGGTGTTAAAGAAAGGAAGTTACTGATTTTCGCTCGTATCTGTATAATGTATTTATAATCAGGTATGTAAGTATATTTGGAAATTTGGCGCAGCGGGTAGCCTAAATAGCAGGATGAATTTTAATACTCTTTATTTATTTACATTTATGTAGGAAGTGACGTCTGGTAGACTGAACTACAGGTTCATCATCTCTACTTCATGTCGTCACCAGCTTCCAACAAAGTTTGTTATTAGATGATTCTAAAAAGAGCACGTTCTCAATTCGCCTGCATTTATGTATGTGTGTGTACGTTACTATCACGTAACGGACAAATACAAGCGAATGACTAATTGTGAACTGTCTTTGATAATTCTTTTGCAATCTACTTTTTGGTATTACTTCCGTGTTAGTCCTATGTTAATTTTGTCACGTTCGAAGTCGCCGTTTGTTTTCGTGACACAAAAATCCTATTTGTTTATTAATAAAATACTATATGTATATGTACGATTTTCATTAATATATATTATGAGATAAATTAAGTAAATTTAATTAATAAATTAATTTATTTATTTAATAAATTTGTAATTAATTATTAAGTGTTATAATAAATCGCCATTAAAATTTAAACTTAGTTTTTGATTGCAGTGCATAATTATGATCTTTAATAAATAACTATTACGTATGATGAGTGACATTTGTCTTAATTTGTGTTATGCTATGGCACACTGTTAATTAAGAAACATGACAACAGTATAAAATGTATACTATATTAATATTATAAAGAGGAAAAAATTGATTTTTCTATGTTTGTTAATTTATAAAGGATAAACTCAAAAATTACACAGCTGATTTTAAAAATTCTTTTATCTATAGCTATAAGCTAAAAAATCAGTCAGTAAGATAGGCTACATATTATTTTCGAAAATTCTATCTACCCGTGCGTAGGAACGGATCACTAGTAATGGATACATTAAAAAAAAATACTTAAAATATATTCTTATATTTAAAAAATTCTTTCATCTATAGAAAACTACAGTATCAGCGAGTAACATAATCAAAAAACGAACGTGCGAAGTCGATACGGGGTGATAGTTTAATCTAGTCTTTTTGTAACTTACCTACATACAAATACGATGATGTTAAACTGCTCGTAAGATAATTACGTCTATAATGGCCACTCAAAATGGTTATTCCTATTAGCATACTCTAAAATAATTGATAGTTTTTGTTAAACTATCTTCATAAATGGGCCATGGGACTGTTGATATAAATTGCTGATTTATCATACTGGGCAATTGTAGGGAGAAACTCGTTGCCAAGTTACATTTATTATGCGCATCATTTTACACATTTACGTCTTCGAAAAGTAGGTAGTTCGTAATTGGACAGTATTTTTTTATGTAACATACATTTCTTCACTAATTCTATACCAAGTTTGAGAACTTTTTTGCTGTTGATTTTTCATCCAATTGGGTATATTTACCGTGATTTGAATAATATTATTTACAATTAATAAAATTTATATTCTATGATTGTATATTTTTTGTTATTGTTCTAATTAGTACAGAATCTACAATTTACAAGCTAATTTATATGTTATTTACTTCTTATTTATTTTGTTTATATAAATGTATATTGTATATAAAATAAGGATGATAAATACGATTATAGAAAAATAACAAAAAAAATATTACTTCTTGTTATTAAAATATATTCATATTAAAATTAACAGACATTTCGAAATTGTAATTAAATAATAAGTTCATTACATTATTTGCAGTGGAATGCTTCGATCTTAAAACAAATTTAAGTAAAGATGTAATATGTAACTGAGCGTGTAACATTAGAAATCTATTCTACGTATGCGTACATTAACGTTCATAGTGATATTGTTACAACAAACACGCTGTGATGGTAAATAAACATAAATCAGTTACCGTTTAGCCGCGAAGAAGTTCTATTTCCAAATGTCGACTTCGGTTTGTGTTGTAGCAGCTTCCGTTGCCACCGAGGAAACTGTACGTCAAAGCAGTATATAAATTACAACTTCACTGACTGATTGTTTGAACACACAACTTCAACATTCATTATCTCCTCACATAGTTTATACTTCGTATTTCAATACAATTCTCTCAGTATGTACCTACTTATTTTCATCTACCTTATAAATCTTCCGTAATGTCCAATAAATTTATCAGTCACTACACTATCATTAACAATGTTAATATCATTAATATTATTAGTATAGGTGCGTAATTTTTTTTTTTAAATTTTTAAAAAGATTACTTTCCGAAGTGAGTCGATGTTTTTTACGCGGAGCGAACGGTCGCGACGCAGCACACGTTTTACCTCAACGGCGGCTCCGTGCCGACTGATGCTCTTCAGTCAACTGAACACTGAAACGAGCACATGGTCTCAGCCTCCTTCTGTAGAACGCCTGCCGGGGTCAATCAACTTCTGAGGGATGGAGGCCTACGGAACCGCTCCACTTTAAAAAGGATTCTTAATACAATTAATGCGGTTTTAATTATATTCTAGTTAACAAAATATAAAATTAGCTGTTGAATTATGTGAGTGAAGATCCATTCGGCAATACTTTATAATTATGTATATGCGCGGTAAATGAAAAACCCAGTGGACCGATTTTCAATGCATTTAAATTAACGTGATGCGATATGTGTTTAATTTAATTTTAATTTGATTGCATTAACGGTCAACCTTTTATTGTCATTTTATGTTTTCTAGTCTGCCGTGTAGTCCAGGCATAGAATTGTCCATCCCATCCTTTTCTGTGGATGTCGTAAAAGGCGACTAAGGGATTTCAATGATTTACAAATGGAAAGCAATATTCCTCTTAAAATATCACTAAAGCCTAACTGCGGTTTCCAATTCGAATGCCGAGTGTGGCAACTACTGAGAAAACCCTCCTTATGGGGATCTATGTCCAGCAGTGGACAGTTAACGGCTGATATATATGGATGGAAGGTAATTAGTTATATTATTCTACTATAAATAAACTTGTATTTATAAATGCAAAAGATTTAAGAATATATGTTCATTACTCAATCATGCTGAAAGGGCTTAATAATTTTGAATGAAATTTGGTACATAGGTTATATTTCATCACGTCACGATGAAATATACTAATGACGGACATAGCCGCGGTAAACAACTAGTTTCATTACATACTTAAATAATGTTTTGAAGATACCTTTTCCATAGATTCACCGAATTTTAGAAGTTTTCTTGACTTGATCACCCAATAAAAGAAAAAAAAAAAAGAAACAAATAGAGGAAATAAACAAGAGAGGCTTCAATTCCGGCAAAACAGCTATTTTTATTTAAAAAGTAAACAATTGACTCGAATTTGATAAAATTTCTACGGTACCAATTTGTAAGTAGGTATACCATTTCAGATATAAAATAATTTTCTAAATCGGTTAACAACTGACGGAGTTATGAGGTAATGAATATTTAAAAACAAAACGAGTTGAGAATGCCTCTCTTATTTTCTTTATATTCTCTATTAAAGTCGGCTAAAAAATGTGAATTACCTCTGTATAGGATTTCCACTGACAAGTGTCTAAAGTTTCATTAAAATCTAACAAAGACAAAAGGATATATAATAAAATTACATTTAAAGTTTCGTTTCAAAATAAGTATCGAATATAAAGTATAAGTTTATAAACTGTCACATTAAAAGACAATTTTGAATTGGCAGATTTATGAAGTTTCAAAAGTATTAAATATTGGCTCCAAATTCCAGTTATTCCTGGCCATTGTTCCAGTTATGAATAGAATATCAATTTATACAAGGTAAAGCCGAAATCATTAACACCTGTATAATGTACCATGATATCAATATATTATATAAGAATTTAAACACGATTATTTTAATAAATATCTATCTATCTATTTTCACGCCAACTTCCTTGCGGGGTAGGCAGAGCTTCAAGTTTCAAAGATGTCCATTCTTATATACATCTCTTGCTTCCTACATTATTTTATGTAAAATAGTTTATGTATAGTCTATTTCAATAGAAATTAATGAAACAATCAACATTTTTTAAAATTATTTTGGAAACACTCTCTGAATTATATTATTAAAAAATCTAAATCAATTAATGGAATTTATATTTGTACTACAATATAAAGGCCTATGTTCGGCAGTGGACAGTTAACGGCTGAAGTAATAACGAAATTAAAGTTTATATGACTTTTGTAGTTATGCCCGCGAATTTAGTAAAAGTTGTAATAAAGCAGTAAAGCACTTACAAAAAGTAAAGCTGTTGTGTTTGCATGGCTGTGTTTCGGTTTGAAGGGTGGGATATGGCGTGAATTTACTAGGTACAGAGGAATAACACCTGAGTCCTCAGGAATGGCAACGCATGAGGGGTATCATGGGCGAAACAGTATACTCTGTTATGTTCATGTTACTGCTCATGTCTATAGGCGACGGTTACCACTTTCCATCAGGTGGGCCGTCAGAGTTGTTATAATAAAAAAAAAATTCAAATAAATTACTTTCAATGATAGGTTGACGGCCATTTTGTTGGAAAATAATAATCGTATACTTAATGTAAATGAAATAAGAATAAATTTCTCTAAATACTGAATAAGGAACGTCTACATATAATTTCAGGTTTGAAACGGTTGACTTGGACTGTGTATATAAATGTCAGTCATTCAGATAGTAGATAGAAGATTAGAAGTGAATTTTCCCGCGTTCGTGTCATGCCGCTCATGAATAAGGGTCCGGTGGGCCTCGATGCCAGTCGGGAGAGTTCTCAAAAAATACCTACGTAAGTAATCCCTTATATATTAATCTCACTCATATTATAAAAGTTAATATTATAGATAATATTTTTATGTAAATGTTTTTAGTCATTATTGTATATACTTATTTATTGTTTACTGCTGTCACTTGTATCAATTTGATTTGTTGACAATATTTTCAGCGTAGGAGAAATAGTTGTAAATTCATATTACTCCACAAAACTTTTGATGTCAGCCATATTTAAACTCATAACTTTTGAAGTAATAATTTTTTTAATTAATGAAAATGGAATAGTAGCCCCGCCTAAGCTACAGGTATACGCTGGCGGGGCACCAGTGAGAGTTGATAGATGAGAAAGAAAGAGAAAGCAAGTAAGTTAAGTAGTTTTTGTTGAATCCATCATAATGAATTCAACAAAAACTAACCACGATAGTTACCAGGGCAATCGCGTTCAGGCCGTCCATATAATAATAATAATAAGGGTAATACTACTAGAAATTGTTAGACCCTTTACTAAAAACCTTTCTTTCACTTTTGGGGTGTACTAAGCCACGACGCCCTCAGGTATTTGTATCTACATACATATTAAGTCAGAAGACGCCTAGGCTTAAATGGAATTGTGCAGTTCACATTAGGTGCATGAGCCCCAATAAGTAAGCAAAGATCTCCACCCAGTGTGTGTATAGAGATGGTCAGCATTCGCGAGGCCACGCCAAATGTCGACAGTGTAGTGACTTAAACGCAAATAAAAATAACTAGTTAGATGTGGCGTAAAGTAGTAAAATTTGAAAGGAATTGGAAGAAACCTTTGCCAGTCAGCGGGAAAACATGGGTTCATAATAGAACAGAACAGGTATAAAATACTTTTACATTGAACATGTGAATGTTTGTAAACATGTCTGAATGTTTGGATATGGCTTACACCATCACGCTTAAATGGTTAAATAGATTTGAATCATATTCTGCCCAGAGATAGACTGTATTCTAATTAACATGACCGAACTGGCGAGCTATGGTTAGTTTAGTATAAAACCTACGCATTAATCTACCTTACACAAGATACACAATCTCTAAGTACTTATTTGCATTAAAAATAATTATAGCGTCGGTAGGTACCTAGATTAAAAAAGTTATTACGAATCCACTGTTTAAGCTTGTTATTTAACTTGAAAATACAAATTAATCCCTTTCACATTCGTCATATCTAGATTGTATTATTGAAATAACTGTTTTAATTAATACCTGGAAACAGATGGCTCATCGAATTACATTGTTGTGTGATGTTTACACGTCGTAACATCGTGGAAAGTTATTTTTAAATCTACGCATTATTTGTTCAAAATATTACCTGTACTTCATCTTAATACTTTATTTATTTATTAATAATTTATTTATTCAATCGGCTAGGTGAGCTTTACAGTTTTCATTAAAAATAAAAATACAAGAATAAATAATTTAATAAAGATAAATTTATTTATTGTACATATATATATATTATACTAGCTACATTCCGCGGCTTACTACATTATACTAAATTAAGATATATCTTACCCGTGTTGTAAATTTCATTCAAATCTTTGCAGTAGGTTTTGCATGAAAGTGTGACAAATATTAATAGGATTAATTGTATGTTAGCTAGATTAGCGTATAGAAACATTCTATCTATTTAAAAAAGTATATTTAAATCAATTTAAAATTTTAAGCGTGCTTGAGTACAAGCTGCTGCATTTTTACATTTTATATTCTAATATTATTATAAACTAATTATGTCTGTCAGTATATCTCGTTTAACATAAAAGGTATCCTATGTTTTTCTATATAAGTACTAGTACATATTTTATCTGCGGTTAGTTTATAGTTTGTGCGTATTCTGCTACGATACATGACACTTATTTCATTATACAAAGTTAAGCAAAGTTCTAGCTTTCTACTGTTGGCGTTGTACGGTGTAAGGCACAGCTTATCACCAGAGTCTGGTGATTTAGTGTGATACTTTCGCGAACTTTGCCCAATTTAACACTGTATCTAATTTGTCAAAGTTACACGAAATTATGTTTGTGCTCTCACAGAATTACTCAAATCTACCGTTACTAACGTAAGTTATTTCGTGTTACACTTACTTTGTCTTCTTTATGGAATCATGTAATTTTTTTTATAACTAATTCAAAACTAGTTTTTGGGAGATTTTCAATAGAAGAAGAATTTCCATTCGTTTGTATTTTTAATTAAACATTACACAATTGTGTCACATTACAGCAGTTCTGAATTGAATGAATTATTGAAAATCATTATTGTTCCCTTCAATATAAAGATTAACAATATGTACACAAACAAAATGAATAATGAATCACTTACCAATTTAATTGATTTTGTTAATTATTTTTGTAATCGAGAGAGATAATTTTTTAGCATATTATATAATAACTTAGTATATCCCGTGACACTGCCCGGTTGAACCAGTACCAGTATAGAAAGTATGCTATGTGCTATGTTAGGGTATAATCTTCCCGTGTATAAAATTTCATTCAAATCTGTTTAATAGTTTTTGCGTGAAGGAGTAACATAAAAGTAACATGCACTCATCCACTCATTCTTACAAACTTTTGCATTAATAATGTTAATAAAATTTCTGATTGAAGTTGTCACTTATATTTGCAGAACAAATAACGACACAAAAAAGAAAGTCAGACTTTTGACTATTCATTTATATTCGTTGTTTAGCACAAAGTAGTCTACACAGAGACACGTATGGAAGGTAGAGGTAAGGAAAACTGTTTCATATGGGAGAACAGTAGCAAAATGTCCACCTATAAGCTGTAAATAACAGTTTCAAATTCAATGCAGCACTAGAGTAACAAGTGGGTATGAAAATAATTTAACAGCTGTCAATGGAGTGAAATGCGTCTAGTTGAAAAATTTATTATTTAATGTATAATTAAAAGATTAACAGTGATATTTAAGATAACATTAATTATACATTATATTATTGTTTTTCTGTTTTAGGTTTTTCATTTGAAAAATACGCTATTATTATTAAAAGTTATTTTATATCACGAAGGTGGCAAACAAGTATACAGCCCGTCTGATGGTAAACGGTCACTGTAGTCCTGCAACATTAGAGGTATAACGTGCGCGTCGCCAACCCTTTAGAAATCTTAACATACTCATTCGGAAGAACCCTACAATGTAGCCTCTAAGAAAAACCTCGGCAGGGAGCTCAATCCACAACCTAAGCGCTCGCAGGAAAAAATCCTTTGAAACCGCACTGTGCGTGACTATTTAGGTTCAAGCGTGTAAGGATAAATTCCCTATCAATGGCGAGTGATGCGTTAATAAAACAATTAACTTTCTTTAAAATTTACCTGAATACTTATACTTTTACAATCAAAGATTTTTTAGTATTGAAAGGTCCTGCGATTGATTACGAACTTACCTGATGGAAAGCGATGATCTAGTCTAATATGAAGCTAACGGGCCCACGAATAGTCTAGTTACATTAGCCTTACATTGGTTTATATGGTTCTTATAACCTCTATTTTCCATACCCGTGTGGGTATAACAGAGTAGTCTACATGAATATCAACTCATGTAGATTATCTTCTTGTACAGATACTTCTACACTGTTTACATCTAATTTCCTAAATTATTTCAACTGTCACTTGAGGTAATTTGAATAGATACGTATACAAATAAATATAAATCTATGTAAACAAATCCAGGACTACGTTAACGTATCTGCAGGTTTTGTTATTTGATAATAAATAAGTATGTATTTATCTTTATAAAAGTAAGCCTTATTGCAATAAATCATAAAGTTCTTTCACCATATAATACTGTTCGTGACCTTACGTTCCCTGTACAATATCTATCTAATACATTACTATTATTTCCTAACGCAAACTCGTTTTAATTTCCTATGCGCTATATTGGATGAACCTTATCTATTTATATACAATATTTTAACCTCTGAGATGTAATGATTTACTATGACACACGTTGTGAGTTCGATTTGATTGCATTTTTTCGAAACCTCTGCAATTACGTAGAGATGCCGTCTCGCTCGGCAGTTTTTTACTTCTTATTCCTAAGGAATTGGTGGGAGAACTATATTCCTCTATCCATTTCCGTTACCGGACAACAAGAACGAGCCAATGATGTTATTGTATCTACGAGTACATAAGACGGACTTTACACATCAAAATGTTGACTTTCGTACTCTGGTACTATTCTGCAACACTGTAAAATTGTCTTTTTCGTTGTGGAATCACATTTCTCTCCTTTTATATAAACTCGGTTCCTTCAATAGTCATTGTGTTCAGGGAAGTCTTTCTATCTTTGTTTATTCGCATTCATGAAACATACTGTCCCTATAAGTATAAGCTGAAGTGGCAATGGACTGATCATATAGCTTGAAAAATTGGCAATCGATGGGGAAGAAAGATTCTTAAATAGCGATCCGTGGGGGGAAAAGGATTGTTAGTAATGGAGACTGAGAATCCCATTGCTAGCAATATACCCAACCAGGTCGACTTCCTCGCGGTTCCCCCTGGAAACTATCATGGTTAATTCCTGATGAATTCATCATGATGGGCTAACTGGCCTGTTTTCATTCTCATCTATCACCCTTCACTGGTGCTCCGCCAGCGTATCTCGTTAGCGCAGGCGGGGTTACCATACCATTTTCACCCATCAAAAAAAAAGTAGCGATCCGTACAGGCAAATGCCATAGGAACTCCAACTCAAACGTATTGCGGGAAGTCAGTAAATGTAGGTGCTTGTTTGCCATTGTAAGTTGTATAAAAAAAGGTGCTTAGAGCCGTTCCTTATGGCAGCCTATGGAGGAGGCCTGTGTTCAGCAGTGGAAAGATGACGAGTGATGCGATGGTGATGACTATCTCTGTACACACTGGGTGCTGTGTGATCACAATTATGTCGAACTGTCATAAAAAAATATAAAACGAAAATTTTTTTGACAAGAGTTATCGAACGTGCAGATACAGGCTTTAAGAGGTACTGGAATCGGTATGTTAGTTAAAACTAATGGATCCTGGTCCCCCCTCATTAGACCAGTTGATTATCCGGCCACTTTCCATATTAAATTAGATTAAATGGATCCTTCGAGAAACGGGGTCAGTTTCTGATAACGTGTTGAACTTAGGGTCACAGCGAAGTAGGTAGTATTAAGTATTCTATGGTTACCCTGCGATCCTATGTTAACAGACTTTAATGAAAATGGAAATTTGTTTAAATTCTAAATTTAGAAGGAATAGAGATAGTTAATGACAGGGTTGATTCACCTCTTAATTTAAGTAAGCTAATACAGCACTAATCGTAGGCGGTACTAGAATCAGTAATTGTCAAAAACAGTCAATCATAAATTGGAAGCCTTATTGTTTCAACTCTATTGTCCATATTTGGTGAAAAGGATGGCCTTATTATCAGCTATGAATAATAATTGCGGTTGAAGGGTTAACCAATTAGTGTAAATGCACTCGCTGAGTCTCTCGGTTACGGTACGCTGAATAAATGTGTAGGTGTTTAAAATATACTTATTGTCTCGTCGTGGACACAATGAAATTTATTTTAGAATAAACTCTGGTTGATAAGTGCGTTTTTATTAGAGATAAATGTTAACAATAATGTTCTGAATGGTGTTACAACTATCCAAGTGAAAACAAGATGGCACCGTGCCAGAAATACAACAGTGGACGGTAGGACAATAATAAAAAAGGAAACGCCTGCTCGACCAGGCCGAGCACACAATTACGAAATTGTCATTAACATAAACTCCCCCCGTTGAAGACTCGCTCTTCAACCGTCTCCATCGTTAATAGTCTTCATCAGCAAGAAGAGGGCAGAGGCGAACAAGAGGTCGCCGGTAACATCCTGTCTTTGTATTTACATCTGCGACACGAGAGATTCCATCAGGTCCTGGATATAATTTTGTTACTCGACCAGTACGCCAGCATAACGGAGGAAGAGTATCTTCACGCAGCAAGACCAAATCTCCAATCTTTACTTTGGCTGTATCAAGTTTCCATTTGGTCCGTACTTGTAATTCAGAGATGTATTCTTGTTGCCATCTTCGCCAAAAATGCTGTCTTATTTGCTCAAGACGTGCATGGCGACGCAAGCAACTTTCCTTATAGTCTTCTAGACAAGGGGATGGCAAAGCATTCAGCGGTTTTCCAATCAGAAAGTGCCCTGGGGAAAGGAATAGGAAGTCGTCTGGGGAAGAGGATAAGGGACACAATGGACAACTATTCAATATAGATTCCACTTGTGCAAAAAGAGTCGAAAGTTCCTCGAAGGTTAAATGAGAATTGCCCATTACACGACGTATAAGGTGTTTGGAAGATTTGATTCCTGCTTCCCAAATACCACCAAAATGAGGAGCGTAAGAAGGAGTAAAAATAAATTTAATGCCTTCCTGAACTGCAAACTCAGATAATGTTTCATTATTAGTCTTTAGAAAACCATTAAGTTCTTTAGCGGCTCCAACAAAATTACGACCGTTATCGGAAAATATTTCCGCTGGCTTGCCGCGACGACATATAAACCGACGTAAGGTCATAATAAAAGCATCCTTAGTGAGGTCGCTTACAGCCTCCAAATGAACGCATTTGTACCGGAGACATACAAATAAACATAAATAAGACTTAGATAATTTAGCTCCTCGTCCCTTTCGATTTAATGTAATAAAGGGTCCAGCCATGTCAATACCAACAGATGTAAAAGGAAAATCTGGCGTAATTCTTTGTGAGGGTAGATCACCCATTTTTGGCAATAACGTCTTTCCTAAAACTCGTCGGCAACGTACACATTTACGTACAGTTGCTCGTGCTAATAACCTACCCTTAATGGGCCAAACAGTTTGTCTGACTGTGGCTAGAAGCAGTTGTGGGCCAGCGTGCATGTTGCGAATGTGCTCTGCTCTAAATATCAATTTGCATAAATAATGAGACGAATCTAATAAAACTGGATGTCTTTTATTATATGGATAGGTTGAAGCGTCTATACGCCCACCCACTCGTATTAAGTTATCGTTATCAAGAAACGGTGACAATGATAATATTTTTGATTTCGTATTCAAAAATTTTTCATTTGATAACGCTTTAAGTTCAATGGGAAAACTTTCTTGTTGGGATATAGTGCATAAAAAGTTAAAAGATTTGTTCAACTCTTCAACAGTTAATGGGCCTGATATTTTGATATTGGGGTTTTTTATATTGTATATAAAGCGATTGACATAAGCGACCGATCTTTGCAGTCTATTAAGATTTGAAAACCGTTCCATGTCTATTATTGATTTGTTTACAATGACGGACGTAGCAACCACTTTAAGCTCAGGTAAATTATTAAAATTATCATGTTTTAAAACTGGCCATTCGTCTTCTTTCTTTTGCAGAAATTTGGGCCCTTCCCACCACATGTCTGTATGACACAGCTGATCGGCACTTACACCACGTGAAATTAAATCGGCAGGATTCTCTGCAGTGGGAACATAACGCCAGGAAGACGACTGCGTGTTTTCTTGGATTTCACCTATTCTATTAGCCACAAATGTTTTTAATTTAGATATATCTCCTTTTAACCATCCCAATACGATGCTGGAATCGCACCAATGGATTATGCGGTCAGGAACATACCTTATTGACTCTATTACTGCTTTGGATAGTCGAGCAGCAAGAAGTGCCGCACAAAGCTCCAAGCGAGGTATTGAAGTAGGTTTTAGTGGAGCTACTTTTGATTTTGAACAAAGTAACTTAACTAAAATTTCACCGTTGATATCTATAGTTTTCACGTATACACATGCACCGTAACCTACTTGGGACGCATCACTGAAAGAGTGAATTTCTATGAATTTTGGCGAAACACATGCAACGAATCTAGGAATTTGTAAATTGGACAGAACTGGTAATCCATTGGCAAAATCCTGCCAGGCTTGCTCAATGTTGTCAGGTACGGGTTCGTCCCAACCAACTTTAAGCTGCCATAGCTTTTGAAGCATAAGTTTTGGCTGCATTATACAAGGACTCAACAGACCCAAAGGATCGAAAATCTTAAAAGCATTAGACATAATAAATCTTTTTGTTATGGTTTCGCTTGGAATTGGTATATTTATAGGAAAATGTAATGTATCGCTATTAGGATTCCACCCTAGACCAAGAGTACTTGAGGATTCACTAATAATCAGGTTACCCTGAGAAGCAATGTTGGAAGAATTTTGAATAATATTGGGTAAATTAGATTTGTATTTACGTAAATTAAAACATCCTTTATTCAATTCTGTAGCCACTGAATTTTGGATGTATTGTAATTCCATCTCGTCATTTGAACCCGTAATTAGATCGTCTACATAAAAGTCCTTTTGAATAATAGTTTTTATTAATTCATCAGTACACTCATCACCAACTTGCCACAAGCATCTCGTGCTTAAATAACTGGCACTTGCTGTACCGTAAGTGACAGTATTTAGTTGCATTGTTTTGATAGGTAAAGACTCGTCTTCTCTCCATAATATTAACTGCAGGTTTCTGTCATCCGGATTGACTTCAACCTGTCGATACATTTTTTCTACATCACCGGTAAGTAGATATTTATATTGTCGGGCACGAATTAAAATGGAGAAGAGAGAATCCTGTACATTTGGGCCAATCATCTGCAAATCGTTAACTGAGAAACCAGAGGACGAAGGTGCGGAACCATCAAAAACAACTCTTATTTTAGTCCATTCACTTTCTATTTTAAAAATCGCATGATGACATAAAAAGTATGATGGATTTGGCAATCTAATAGGAGATTCTGAAAGGTGACCCAAATTTTCATACTCGGTCATGAATTTAATATATTCCATTTTCAAAGAATGATTCCTTCGAAAACGCTTCTCAAGATTAGTGAAACGTTTTTTAGCAAGAGTATAAGAATCACCCAAGCAATTTGGTGAGTCTCGAAGTGGCAAACTTACGGAAAACCTACCTGTTTCAAGACGATGTGCATGTGTACGAAAGTGATTTTCGCAAGCTAATTCTATTGGATTTAAAATAGTTTTTGAGGAAGCTCTTCTAGTTCCCAGAATTTAGTAAGAAGGGCGTCAACATTTGATTCTTTAGATAAAGGTGCATTGACAATTATATTATTACAATGAATATCATTATTTTTACATGTATTTATGGGACCGCCGATCAGCCAGCCAAATACAGAATTACGAAGTTTTGGTTTGTTTGGACCTAAGGAAGTCTGCTCAGATAGTATAATGTCCCAAAAGAGGTCAGCACCTATCAACATATCGATAGGACCTGGTTGGTCAAATGTTGGGTCCGCTAACATAATCTGTTTGGGTAAATTTAAATTTACACAAAATTGTGGTAAACTTCCTGTAAGTCTATCAAGAACGAAGCAATTTAATTTAAATTTACTTTTATTATTTAGAGATTGTATTTGTACCATAGAACTTTCAGTTATATTATTGGTAGCATTATGGCCAATGCCAATAACATTCATGGAAATAGGAGTTGAATTTAGTGATAATTTTTCATGTAGTTTTTTTGTAATAAATGATGATTGACTGCCTGAATCCAATAAGGCACGCACTTTGGTTGCCTCTTTGGTTATTGGATTCAAAACTTCAAGTAGAGCAGTCGATAAAAGAACTTGTCGATTAACTTCTTTAGAGAAATTAACCATTGAATTTTCTTCACGTATTTGCGCATTATTGACTTTTGTATTGTCAATTGAATGCAATAAAGTATTGTGAGGTTTTTTGCATTGCTTACAGGGACCCATGCGACATTCATTAACAGGGTGACCTTGCCGTAAACAATTAGGACATAATTTATATTTAGAAACTTCAATTAACTTATCTTTAATGGATTTAGACTTAAAAATTGGACAGTCATAAATTTTGTGATTCTGATTACAAATAATACATAGCCATACTTTATTTTGACTAGTAGTAGCAAATGACTTTGTATTGATTGCGTGTTTATTATTATTATGCTTATAAGTTGATGAATTACCTGATAATAAATTATTAGTGTCAGATCTATTGCGACGCATAGATTCGAGAACAAATGCTCGATCAATTAAAAATTTCTTGAATTGTTCTAAATTTGGTAATTCATCTATAATATTACGTTGCTCTTCCCACTTCAGAAGTGTACGATTATCAAGCTTAGATGTAATAATAAAAATAATAATGGTATCCCAATGGTCTGTTGGTTGACCTAAGCTAGAGAGAGCACGTAGATTTTTGGTTATGTGGTCAACTAAATAGCGCAAAGAATCTTCAGTTTCGCGAGTGGCTTGTTGGACATTAAATAAAGGTTTTAAATGGTGATTTATGAGTAGACGCTTGTTGTTATAACGATCATAAAGTAATTGCCATGCACTGTTATAGTTAGACGATGACACTTCAATATTAGAAATAACACGAGCAGCATCACCTTCTAGATATGAAATTAAGTAGTGAAATTTTTGTATTGGTGGGATGTGCTCATTATTATGAATTAAGCTAGTATATGTGTCTCTGAACTCAAGCCAACGAAAAACCGATCCGTTGTACCTCTCAATATTGATTTGAGGTAATTTAACACGACACTCATTATGATCGAGACTGCATTGAGCTTCTTGAAAAAGAGATTCGCGTCGTGTCTTATCATGTTCTACACTTTTTATTTGATTTTGCTCGTCGACAACATTTTTTGCTGTAGCTAAACATGATATGAACTCATGCTCAATGCGTTCACGCTCATCAATTTCAGATTCTAAATGTTCATTATTTACCAATTCTATTTGAGTTTGCAATTCATCATATCTAGCTGAGAGGCTTTTAAATTTAGTGATTTTTAATGATAACTCGGTTATTTCAATATTCGTCAGTTTAGGCTGTCTTGTAATCTTATCTAAATAATTCTTAAATTTAGTAATTTGTCCTTTAATAGAACTGCGTTTAATACTTAGATCTTTATAATCAGTATTTTTGTACACACTTGTAGATGAAGCTCGTGGATCAGTCATTTTGTTTATTAAAAATTAGTTAAATAAATTTAGTTAATATTCTACGCAATTATATACCTGAGACAAAGGGTTAAATTAAGTTTTTACAATGTATATGTTTGTACAAAAATATATTTATATAAATTACATGTAGGTAGACTCCATGCAATTTACATAAAAACAGAAAATGCTATTGATTATTATTTTAGTTAATTTTCTATTATTAATATATGTGTAATATAATAAACCCAAAGCAGTGTGTAAAAAAATAATAATAAAATAACAAACTACGTAATATATTAACCTTATTACTATCCTAATGCTTCTGATAACTCCGTAAAGGACTTATCGTGAAGATAGGAAACTTACAAATGAATTACAAGAAGCCTTCACTGATTGCAAATTGAATTTGTTAAATGTTAGAAAAAAAGTTATAAATATAATAAATGGGTAAGCTCACGCTCCTCGTCAGGCGATATCCAGGTGCAGGCAGATGGCTGTGATGATAACAGCAATAGCAATATAATCAGCTGTCGAACAGCAATAGATACAGGCAGCAACCTGAAAATAGTCGGCAACGGGTCTTAATTGGAGTAAAGTGATGACGTTCGTTTCGTTATCATAACTATAATGTTTTTAATGTGTATAATACAAGTATATACACTCGTTATTTTAAATAAATAAAAGTAAAATAAATGAAAAACTAATCTGTTTAAGGGTGGGTAGGAGTTGACATTAATATAATGCGTATGTACATTAACTTGAAAAAACCTTCCCTTTTTCTCATCAATATAACGATTGATTGAATTATGATAATTTATAATAGTTCAAAATAAATGAAAAACAATATACATACAATACGACTCAGATTCTAGTAAGAGGGAGTATATTTTTATTCTAATATTTTTATCGTAGGTAGATTTTTGCACAAGCAGAACAATACTGAAATTTAATATATATTATGTACTTTAGGTTTTATAAATATAAGAAATTATTAGTTAGGAATATTTAGGACACTTATCTGAATAAATATGTTGCGAGGTGATGCTTTTGATGCGTCACTGCTCAGCGATATATAGTAGTCTCTTACTATGAGTTTTTTGTACTTTTGCTTCTTGAATATCACGAGGTCTGCTACTGATTAACAATAGGGATAGCACGTACACGACAACTATATTGTTCTTGTTGATGACCAGGTGGATATAATCGTCGACTTGCTTCTTCCAATGATGAATTTCGGTAGATATATAATTCCAGACCGTATATTTTGATGCGGTCCTGTCACGGTCGCCAATTTATGTCTCGTCGTGGACACAATGAAATTTATTTTAGAATAAACTCTGGTTGATAAGTGCGTTTTTATTAGAGATAAATGTTAACAATAATGTTCTGAATGGTGTTACAACTATCCAAGTGAAAACAAGATGGCACCGTGCCAGAAATACAACAGTGGACGGTAGGACAATAATAAAAAAGGAAACGCCTGCTCGACCAGGCCGAGCACACAATTACGAAATTGTCATTAACACTTATCAAATAATTTAAGACTGTTTTCCATTAAAAAAACTGACTTCAATTGTATCAAAACTAGTTATTTTGAATTTAAAACCTGGACTACGGAATTGAAATCGGTTTCTAACGGAGTTATGAAGTAGATAGTTTAAAAAATTATAACATTCTTTTTGAAATTGGTTGAAAATAGAAGAGATTTGGATAGAAACCCATTAATATCCCCTTAAAACGAGTACTCGACGACCTCGTGGTGCAGTCGTTTTACATACTGCTTTACCTTTCGATCTCCGCACAATACAAGCATTTATGAATACATCTGCATTGGTCTGGGTATGTTTTATGTTTAATATGTATTAAAAAAAATTCTAAGTACATGTATGAGTTATCTAGTACCTACACATATAGTAAAAGCTCTACTCAGTTTGGAACTTAATGACATTATGTAATATGGCTAGTGGTCACCTAGCTAAACCCATTTATACCCACAGGTACAGAGAAAAATCTAGAAATTCATACGAATCAATGAATACTTTTTTTGGAAAGATGACGTAGCAATAGGCCATATAAGTAGCATAAGAGAGTTGTATTGTTCACAGTATAAAAACTACATGATAATAATGTATATTCTCAAAAGTTAGATGATTAATTCTAAAGGACGTTATTCCATAAAAATTAACATCAATTTTGAAAAAAAAATATATTGACTAATCGATTTAAAAGGTATCATCATAATCAGTTTCGAATCGAAAAAATTACGATATCTGATATAAAAAAGCAAATGCGATTTGAAACCCTTCCTCCTTTTAGGTGAGTTGATAAATAAATCGGCATGCGATCATTAATATTACAATGCATATACATATTTGTTATACTAAAATTCTATATATTTATTTATCAAATTATTTGTTATATTATTATCTACCTAACTGTTAAATCAATAGTTCGATGTGGTTATCATCTTGCAAGGCTAACTGTACTTACCATTTCCTTTGCGAAGTCATACAAATCTTGAGTTCCGCCGACGTGTTTAGTTTCATAATGATGTGAAGTGAAGTAATGATTGATTAACATATAGGTAAAATATGCACATATAGAATTTTGATCCTTATACTAATTGAGTAAAGTGCATAATGCTTTTTATTGTTATGTCATTTAACACAGTCGAGCCTTAAAACGAAATTTATGCACATAATATATTTGATATTCGGTAGTCGTGTGTGTTACTGCCCTTTTGGGTGGTCATTCGAACCAAGAATTTGCAATATTAGAGCTTAATCGCTTCTTAATTCAAATGAAGGATCGGTAGACTACGTGTCTGTACTTTCGCATTTATTTGATGGTCAATTTTAGCCAATAAGATAAATCTATAGTAGAACTAGCTGACTTAATAAACTTTCTTTGTCTCCTAACACCATCTATCCGATCTATTTTTTAATTTAGAATACTTTCATTCTATCTCTCAAATTAAAAAAAAAAACAATACACATTTAAAAAAATGATTATAATCTCCTAAACGGTTTTGTAGATTAATGTGAACGAACATCGTAACACGGGATTTTTATATATATTTTTTATATATGATATATTTAGTTATAATAAAAAATAATAAATATAAAATATATTACCAACAGTTCAACGTATAGATCAAAACAGCTGAGTCGAGAAATATGATATTAATTTCAGATTCTATTCATAACATCAGATAATGTTACTTACATTAAGTGATTATTTACTACGAAGAGATTTTATGAAATCCCCAAGGGAAAGTTTGTTAAATTATGAACAAATTTATAAAATCTGTAATACATTAAATAACAATATCTCCCTTTGTTACTCCATTTGAATAGGTCTTGTCAATCTCTTGAAGTGGAATGGATATAAGATAAGGTATTTATCACGTTCCTTAATTTTGCTGACGATATAATATTCATGGCAAAATACGAGTACCTACCATTCATTTGAAGGATGTTAATATTGTACTTTAAAATTGTTTCTCATTATGAAGATCTTATAACTTTTTTTTACGACACAAGGAGCAATGGCCTGGGATATGCTGGCTGGAGGAAGATGCATGAATTAGTTGCACCGACAAGAGGAAACTCTTAAATGAAAATGAAAATGAAGGAGCAAACGAGCTTGCGATTCATTTGATGGTAATTGACTACCGCCGCCCATGACCCACAACACCAGAAGCATTGCAGGTATGCTGCCTTTTAAAAAGGAACATGCTCTTTTCTTGAAGGTTATGATCTTATAACTCACCAGTTGATTAGTATTATTTTGTTTAATTCCGCTATCAATTAGTATACATGCGACTGACTACCAACTGTTAATATTCGTAGTTTGGGCGCCCACCGGTTAACACTAGGATCCGAGTAGCGATCTATTAATTTGCCTGAAGATGCCTTATTTAGAACTGAAACACTTGTCTCAAAACATTAGATTGAATTGCTGTTGAATATTGATATGGAAGGTTGTAAAACTTTTGGTAATCCACTTACCATCATGTGGGCCGTATGCTTGTTTGCCACCTCAGTGGTATAAAAAAAAATTAGTTTGATAGCAGTTAATCTTCGAGTGTTGGCAGTTGCACGCACACTAATGGTAGCAGAATTAAACAAAATAATCCCAATGGTATGAATTTCATCAAAATAATACCCAATCCAATAAAATATCTTATTACTAATATAGATAAGACCAAAATCATGCTTTATCGTGTGTCCTATTGTGCTTAGGCAAAAGACAAGGTGTTTCCCAGAGGGAGACTTTGTACAAAAGTCGATTGCTTGGGTACCTCTGTCTCATTTGTGTTTCAATCGTGAAGCAGCTGTGTTTGCATGGCTGTGTTTCGGTTTGTAAGGGTGGGATATGGCGTGAATTTACTGGGTACAGAGGAATAACACCTGAGTCCTCAGGAATGGCAACGCATGGGGGGTATCATGGGCGAGACAGTATACTCTGTTATGTCCATGGTACTGCTCATGTCTATAGGCGACGTTTACCACTTTCCATCAGGTGGACTGTCGGCTTGTTTGCCATTCTAAGTTGTATAAAAAAAAAATCAAAGTAAACATAAGATAGATGAAACTTAATGCATAACAACTTCAAACTTCTATCCATAAAGGATAAAACATTGAAGACAAAACTATGCGCCTACCATATTTATTTAAACTTTAATACACAGTGAAACTATGTAGGTATATATGGCGGACTTAAGACTGGACGGTGTTTTCTATTGTACCAGTCAACCATTGGGTAAAATTAGGCGGTGCATTATTGAATTGAATATGTATATATATATATATATATATAT